AAGCAGTGGTATCAACGCAGAGTACTCATATGTTCTCGCTCTTGTCTAAATGTTCATATAAAGAAACAGTGTTGCCAACTTCTCGCTGCCCGAAAAACCTTTGGGAGGAGGATTGTGGGTGAGTCGAGGTACATTTGTGATCTCATTCGTTCTGATGCCAAGTGTAGATTGCAGGAGAAGTTCAGGAGGTTAACTAGTCAGGGGAGAATCAGAGCCCACGCGCATTAGCTAATACGTCCCTTAACACTGAAGGTCCAAACTGTACTGAGGAAAGCCCTCCGTGTACCTGACAGTTCACGTGTGTCTATCATTGGGCAATGCACTCCTATCAGATAATGCAATCTCAGTTTGGATCTCGGTCCAAGTTTTGCACCGACACAATCAATAGGACCTAAGGTATCACGCAAAATCGTAGGCAGCCTCCAATTTGTTCACGAAAGACTGCGGCGCAAGGCAAATAGCGAGCAGAGCGAAAGAGAGCGGAGAAACGCGGTTGTAAGTCCTCTCCTGCTATACCCTTTCCTAGGCTGTTATTCAAACCGCAGGAACCAAATAGCATGGTAGATTCAAAGTTCCATGTGTTTGCAACATCAGTATATGCCATCCTCGCCAAATTTGCCACAAAGCGCCAAAATAGTAATTTAACACTAGCTCAGCGCCACGGTCTACGCCGAAATCCGTGATCTTTGCAGCGCCGGGGAGATCAAGGTTTCCGTTAGCGACAAAGGGGGTGAGTTCGTCGTTCTTTCACGTGAACTAGACATGACGATAACGCGGAATCACCTGCAAGACGAGACTGTCTACCAGCCGTCTAAGCGCAGTAGAGTTCGGAAGGCAATATCGCCGTCTCAATAGAGTGTGGACCGATATAGCTCGCTCTTCAGGGTTTCCCAAAAGTCCTCATCTCCGCCTAAAGAGCGATTTACCAACTTGTCCCGTACTTTATACGCTCATAAAAACGCACAAACTCCCCGCGGGAGGTCTTAGCTCCAATAACCCCTGCGACTTCAAGGTTAGACCAATAATAAGCGCGGCGTTGCGGGCCCTACTGATAGAATTGCATGGTTTCTTAACATCATACTTGTTCAGTTGTTAAAGTTCGTCACAGCTCACTTGTCAAACACCGGCATGCTCCTCGAGCGGCTTCGCAGCGCGCATTTGACCCCAGAGTGTGTGATAGAATCATTTGATGTCACTTCACTCTATACAAATGTTTCGAATGATGCTGCGCTGGAAGCTATTTACGAAATTCTACTGGAACATCAGTCCTCTCTCAGCCTGTACGGTTTCTCAGTCAGAGATATAATGACCCTCGTAAGCAATGTTTGAACTGTAACGTATTTCGCTGGTCAGGTCATTATTACAAACCAGGTCAGAGGACTAGCGATGGGGCAACGCCTTGCGCCTACCTTAGCCATTATCTTCATGTCTAAAGTGGAATCGCCCGTGCTTACAAGAAAGCCTTTGTTGTATTGCCGCTATATAGACGGACTTCATCATCTGTCAACCCAGGACGAGATGGATGCTTGTTTCGATCTGCTCAATCAACAGTTCTCGCGCATCAAGTTTACACGGGAGAAACCCTGCGATCAATGACTACCGTTCCTCAATGTTCAAGTGCATGTATCTAGGGGCGATTATAGAACAAAGTGGTATCGGAAACCCAGCTGCAAGAACATTTTAGTGCATTACTTATCCGCGCATCCAAAGAAAGTCAAGCAGTCCGTGATTGAAAACATGTGCCGAAAGGCTATTAGAGTTTCATCGGGTATCCAGGAGCGTTCCTACTCTTTAGCGTTTAGCCAAACAAATAGCCAGGTCGAACGGGTACACAACAAGTAGCTGTGCTCCTAGATCGCGCGCTTTTGTAAGCAGTAGAAATCGCTTGGAAGAAGCCACGGATAAGATTCCATTCTGCATGCCTCTCATCTCGGACTATATAAGCACGCGCGGGTGCGGCATGCGTATATCAGGCGGGTTTGCAAGACGCGCTCAGGGTGGTCGATATTCCGCCGCCCAACCTTAAGAGGCAATTGGTCAGGAATAGAGCGTATGATCGGAGTTGCTTGACTCCAGGCTGTGTATTTTGTCCTTTCGGTAAAGAGGGGGATTGTATGGTGGCAGGCGTGATATACGTCATCACATGTTTATCATGTGGCGACACGTACATAGGCGAAACTGGGCGCCCGCTTTGCTGCCGCATAAAGGAACATCTAGATGGACTGAACAAGTCAAGGACCAGTACACCGCTCGGTAGTCATCGCTTACTGCAACACGAAAATGCTGAAATACAAATTGGAGCCTCGATTTTGTCCTACGAACCCGAAGTCTATCGCGTAAGACTTTGGAAGCGTTTTGGATCAGCGCTAAAAATCCAAAAATGAACCGGAAGGAGGAGTGTATTGCAATAACTAACGAACTCGCGCCATATCAGGCCCTTTGCGGTTTCTGAGGCTAGGTCAGGTCACCTCATTACTATAAATAGGGCAGAGGTATAGTTATTGTATAATTGGTGGTCCCTCGTACCCCCTATGCAACGTTTAAGGTGAGTATTGCTTTGCCGTGGCCCTGGTTCTTTCCTTCGTACTAGCTTTCAACTGAATTGTCTTGCTTCTTCATTGACGTCTGAGGAAAGAGATCCTTATGTATTCGACTTTCTAGGCCCTGACGAAGGCGATTGCGCCGAAACGTTGGCCGAAGTTAATAAAGAGAAATTGCCATCTTGGTCGTGTTGCTCAACATCCTGCTACGGTTCATAGCTTATAAACTGTATTACAACAATAACAATGCCAAGGTTTATCGACAATCGAATACGAAATATCAATGTCCCAATGGTTTGATTTTTTGCGGCAGTTTGCTAACGACCTGAATACTAAGTTCTGGAGCACCTCGCTGGCATATGACGCGGTCTGGATGCTTCTTAAGCCATTCCTTGAGAGTTCCGCCTTCAGCAACGTTCACAGCACAGAAAACCTGTGAGGAATAAAGTACTGCAAAGCCAGTAAGTCCGAGGTGTAAAATTGCAAACGTACCACTAATGCGATGAGTAACAAGAAGATATGATTGAAACTTCTCATTCTGGTCGAACTGACGTAAACTCTCTGGAAAAAATATCCTGAGAGAGCAGGCGGTACATAGAGCGGTTGGTAAAACGACAAACAAAAGAAACTTTTTTGACACAACTTGACAGAGAAACATATGATCTTTTTAGTGCAGGGGAAATTACGAGATTGCAAAGAGATAACAAAGATAACCTTGATTTTTCCGCTACGAAAATCCTAGGCTTTGTAAGAGAAAATCATGTCAGAAATAACACCTCATGAAGTGTGCACAATATACACAACTCTGTCTTTACTAAAGCCTGCTTTTCCACGACATACGTGTCCCAGAAAAGGTGCAAACAGTCTGATCGTTGATAGCTCTTTAGCTTTCATGTCTTCGTCGAATTTTGGGCATTATTCTGTAGAGCTCGCTTTAACTTAGATTTAGCACGAGCGATTTCGATCACTGTTCATTAGTGCAGAATAACTGTGGGAACTTCAAGAAGAATTCTAGGACATTGAAAGCCATATTTTGCTTGGCAAAATAAAAGAAACAAGCTAAAAGCTTCCACATTAGATTAATCAAAGTCGCAAACTTTAGATATGGATAGCATTTCACTTAATGTTTGATTAATAAGTAGTATTCTGTTGTAACAACTGTCTTTCCAATTCAGAATGTGATCGTACCATCGAGACGCTCAACAAACTCGCTCGAAAATGTGTAGTAAAATTAGCAAGCGTAAAAACTCTGCTAGGCAGTCTTCCAGACTTTTAAGGAAATTTTGCAAACGGCTTTTTCCACAGTGATTCTACCAGGTTTGTCCCAAAAGTACAGTTTTCACATAAATTGAGCTGTTTTTGTTTTTCTAGGAGGCTCAGAGTACCATTCGATAGAGCGAAGCAAGCTCCACAAAAAGGCCACCAAAGATACACTTAAGTCGTAATTCAGATAAAATTTGGAGTTAAAACCCAAAATTTTTCAGCTACCCTAAAAATCAGACCTCCTTCCAGAAAGTCTCTATGGAGTTTCAACTTGGTCTCTATATAATAGACACATAGTAGTACCCAAAGTTGTAATTGGCGGACTTTTTCCGGGGCTCATAATTGAGAAACAAAAACGGTGTGAAAATACCAAAATGCTCTTTTGAGTTTTTTTATGTCAAACCTGGTATTTCTCGATTATAAAAGCGCACAAACGTTTCAAGATTATACTATGTAAGGCTTGTAGTATACAATGACCTATGTGGGAGAGGCTGGGGGGGGGGGGATACCACTTTTTGAAGTATCTTTTTTCTCGTTTTCTATGCGCGGAAAAAGTCCAGTAAAGGCATATTCAAGACTACTTACCAATCTCTACTGCAAAGCACGGTTCTTTGTACCCTCTAAGCTGCCACGTTATATGCTATTATCATACGTAGCAGTGTTGATAGCGAGAGATTGCAATGAACAACTTGCAGAAGAGGTTGATCAAGATCACCAACGTGTTCAGATGTCTGCATATGTCTCCGCTTAACGTACACCGGTGAGGACACGATAGTAAGGTTGACTAAAGTGTAGTGTGAAAGTGCGGAAGTGAATGAAAAACACTTTAACTGTTCAATATTTATGAGCATTTGACATCTTTCAACTAAATGACTCCCTCTGTATTGCAGTAGCCAATTATTTTCAAGATGCGGACACCTTCGTTAAAATCTATACGATTGAGTTTGTTCCACGCGTATGATACGTCTGCCGCTTCTTCAGCCTCACAAAAAATACTGTGAGTTACAGAGACCTTTTAAAGTGAGATGTACGTAGCATGATAAATCTCATGTCCAATATTCGTAAAAACGCTTCCGCCAAGATATTAGGTTGGCCCGAAAATGTGTTAACAGCACTCTCAAAAATTTATAGCCCTTCACACCCGAAACTTTTGCCTTCCTGAAATTTTGAATTCGTCTAAAAAAGATAATCATGGGCTTTACAAAAATACTTGAAGTACTTTCTAACTCGCAAACACCTCAGTGATAGGAGGTTACGAATAGAATTTGTAGAGTTGCCAGAAATGTGAATCAAGGCCCGAACGAAGGTGGCAAATAGTCCTCTGTAAAGGATTACGCCCTTGCCGCTTTGAGTTTACGATTTTTCCCTTGACACCAACTGCGCAAGTTATTTGATTGGATTGCGTTTTTCTCAAAAGCCGGGACTCGTTTGTTCTTTCGGACTCTGCAAAGAGAAGAGGAGAAGCTGAAGAAGAAGTCGCTTCAATGATCAATCAAGTGCCAAATTTCGTGCGTTACATACAAGAACATTTGTACTGCAATCTGCAAGCTTTCAAAGTATTTACCTCGACTCTGCATGAAGCAAAGCTGCATTCACTAGAGGATCGTGAAGTTCACGCTGAGTGCCTCTGTGCTGGCTAAGAACAAAGTAGTAAGAATGTGAAAAGATAGAAATTAATTGTTAACTCTCAAATATATAATATAAATGCACCTCTTTGAATAAAGGCTGTATTAAGATACCAGAAAAGGAAAGGTCAACATTTCTATTTTACCTATCACATAATATTTTTCTAAGCATTGTATAAGCAGCTGCAAAATAGGGTTACGTTATGTTGACTGTAATGGCTTCTGCTGAGGGCTTACCTCCTTGACCTTAATAGGAATATTCGTGGAAGGCAAGCCCTACAACATTTGAAGCGAGAAATCGAGAACGTATGACCGACCGGACACACTTTCCTTTTATACGCTAACAAATAAAGTCCTATATCAGTCATATGCGAGTACTTCTTTTAATCGCTTTTATGTAATCAGATTTGAAAAATTAGATGGAAAATCCCTTGACTGTTAATGTAACGAAAAACTCATGTTGATCCTTGAACCAAGTCCGCAATTCATGACAAGTGTATCCGTTGCTTGTGAGCAAGTGTGTCGAATGACAATTCTACGATATTTTCGGAGCTTTCAGATGATTTTGCCGATCGACATGGAGGAAGTCTCTTCTAAGAGAACAACAATCACCCTATTTGCATTGCCATTGAATGAATTTTGCAGTGCTCAAAATCGAATAGCATTTTTATAAAAATGACGCACAAGATTATTTTCTAACGAAAAGTTAAATGTCAAAAAATCGTATCGTCGAGTCATTCGTAACTTAATATGCTTAGTGCACATTTTACACGTCAACTGACGAACAACGAAACTAGAACCTGCACATTTCCAGTAATTTCTCCTTATTTTCTTGTTTCTTTTGTTTTAGTTGGTTATACGATAGTCAGTAGAACGCATTTCTACATTTTGTTAGGCTAGAAGATCTTTTACTCGGAAGTTACTAGTGTGGGTGCCGTCGCTAATAGAGCTTAGTGTGCAATCTCACATATTAAGTTACAAATGACTCGAGGTTATGTTTATCAATTGAAGTATCGCAGATGAAATACTTACTTCGCTCAAGGCTTGATGAATAAATGCAAGAACCGTTATGATTATCTGCATGCTGCTTTTTCTGAACTCACCCAAAGACGGTAAAAAAATTTGGTTTTGCTCTACAAAAGCGAGTACTAACTCTAGTACTCATAGTTTTCATTTCTTTAGGGCCTTTAGATCACATGCCTTTCTGGGTGCTTTATGATTCGTAGCTCCATTCTGCTCATCTTCATCTAAATATGATATTCGGTTATGGCAAATGTTTCGTTAACGTCTTTCAGCCAGATTTTTAGCCGATTATAATTTCTGAAGTGAGCCGTTGATTTGATGACAATTCTTTTATCTAGAGGAGCTATGTGGTGTTTCTCAGTGATGAAAAAACATGATTATTAGATCATCTGTTCAGTGTCATTGAAAATCATTCACAGCAAGCTCCTTAGCGATTGCTAATAGATTGCATCGAAAATTTGCTTCAATGACGTCTTAATCATTTTTGTTTCTCTACTTACAGGACAAAGTATGGTGTGCTCCAATCCTTTGCTATCACTTTAAAATGCAGTAATCACACATTTATTTGATTGTGCTCTTATAGTCAGCCCCATGACCTCAATTTGCAAATGAAACAGTGAGCGCTAATTACTGCATACTCACTCAAGTGCATAGATGGAAGTTCTTAAAAAATGTGGGTGGGCGATGTGTATTCTTTGCGGTAACTCCGCGATATCAACGCAGCACTTTATACTTATTTCTAAGTTTCAAAGGACGAAAAAGCTTGTTTCTTCAATGATCGTCGTTCTCTTATCTTTATCTTTATATTTATATATATATTTTTATCTCATACACGTAAAACGTATCTCATACATGTTAAAGCCTGTGTGAGTGACGAAAATTGCTAGAGTAAGAGACTAGCCTGTCACCTTTCACCAGAACAAACAAACAGCAAATAAGGGCCTCACGTGTTGAGGAAGAAAAATTTCTATTTGGTCAAGTGAGGTCAGGTGATTGACATTGGAGAGTGCCTTTGCCACTTTTGCGGGCTGTCCAAAACGCCTGCAATTGGTTCCTGCCAGGTATCCACCAAGACTCTACCGGTTTGAAAACACCTGTCTTATTTCGGGAAAACCATGCATGAAACGCAGCTGTCTACGGTCTCAAAGAGCAGTGCTATTGCTCATCCGAACGTGGGTGACAAGCCAGCAAAACATGATTAGTAAACACGATAAATCGAAGAAAAGAATCATGACATTGTGAACCGACGTAGTAGGAAAGGGCTTCACGAAGGCGGATGTCGTAAAAGCGAGGTGGGGAAAGCAAAGTGCAAAACAGATGAGTCGACAAGCGAGGGCCAGCAAGAAATAGACCAGAAACAAGCAGACCTGTAGTGAAAACAGACCAGGAACGAGTCACAAAAGATTGTTCAGTGAACCCCAGCGATTACTGGATCTTTATGCCTGCTTATGATAGACACGGTGGTTACAACTTGCATTACCCAAAAGTTGAGAGGAAACATGCCAATCTGTTATTCAATCATATTTTTTGTCGGGGAGCTAGTGGTTACGGTGCATACCTCGCGAAGTTTTGAGTGCTGACAACTGTGAAGCCTTCAAATGGAAACTGAGGAAAGTTGACATTTGTCAATACTGAACAATCTTTTGTGACTCGTTCCTGGTCTGTTTTCATTACAGGTCTGCTTGTTTCTGGTCTATTTCTTGCTGGCCCTCGCTTGTCGACTCATCTGTCTCGGTTTGCTTTTCCCACTTCGCTTTTACGACAACCGCCTTCGTGAAGCCTTTTCCTACAGTGCTGGCCAAAATTATAGGTCCACTCTAAAAAATGCCATAACTCACTCTGTTGTGAATGAAATTTTCCAAAATTTGGTACAGACGTGTGTTTACCAGCCTACTATCAGTCTTCAAAACTTTCGTTTTCGTTTGATTATTCATGAAAAAATAAAAAGCAGGCTTGAAGGCTGGCCAAAATTATAGGTCCACCTGGAGTTTTTACTGATTAAAGCACTTCTTAGCTCCCGAATTTTTTTAGGTAGGCACACAACTAAAAACGTTAAACAGCTGCTTTAGTCAAGCTGTATCATACCTCCACAAAGGACGGATTATCTGCTTTTTTGCCTTGAAGATGCTCTCACATGTATTTCGCTCCACAAACCTGCGTTGAGTAAGAAATTTTGCAGTTTCTCAGTTGGATCGGAAGGGATGGGGTTTCATCTATCTTCTGGATGCTTTTTGAAGTGAGCGTTGAGGAAAAAATCCGACTTTTTGCTGCTGAAGCAAATCTGACATTGACAGTACTGCAATCCTGAGCTCAAATTTCTGCCTTCGAACTTCTTTTACAATGTTCTCATAAGCATTGAGTAAAGTAAAAGCATTGTTTCTATGAAGGGGAGTCCGTATACCATAGTTACAACTTTCTAGAGATCCTAGCACTCAAGTATAATTACTGAAATCACTCTGCAGAAACTGATTACGACAAGCACCAAAACTACTTGTGGCTCCGACCAAAATTTTCAGAAGAATCATGTGCTAACATACACTACAAGCTGTATCCACTATCTAGTAAATAATTACTGTCAAAAATCCAAGTGAGGTAGCACTTGGAAAGCTATTTTGGATCGCGTAACACCATTATTAGGTTGCACACACAACTCATGTTTCGAAAAAGAAGCAAGGCAGCTTTGTGGACACTTGCGAGCATGGCGAACAGCTCTATCTTTGTGTAAAAAATGCTTCTACAATATCTTGAGGTTATAATGACAATGGATAAAGGGTTTTAGGGGCAGAAACTGAGGCTTACTCTGCCGATTAAGCCGATATCAGATTTGCTTCAGCAGCAAAAAGCCGGATTTTTTCCTCAATGCTCACGTCAAAAAGCATCCAGAAGATAGATGAAACCCCGTCCCTTCCGATCCAGCTGAGAAACTGCAGAATTTCTTACTCAACGCAGGTTTGTGGAGCGAAATACATGTGAGAGCATCTTCAAGGCAAAAAAGCAGATAATCCGTCCTTTGTGGAGGTATGATGCAGCTTGATTAAAGCAGCTGTTTAACGCTTTTAGATGTGTGCCTACCTAAAAAAATTCGGGAGCTAAGAAGTGCTTTAATCAGTAAAAACTCCAGATGGACCTATAATTTTGGCCAGCCTTCAAGCCTGCTTTTTTCAAAATTTCTAATTTTTTCTTGAATAATCAAACGAAAACGAGAACCGTTTTGAAGACTGGTAGTAGGCTGGTAAACACACGTCTGTACCAAATTTTGAAAAATTTCATTAACAACAGAGTGAGTTATGGCATTTTTTAGAGTGGACCTATAATTTTGGCCAGCACTGTACTACGTCGGTTCACTTTTTTTTCGATTTATCGTGTTCGTGTTTCTCGGTTTATCGTGTTTACTAATCATGTTTTGCTGGCTTGTCACCCACGTTCGGATGAGCAATAGCACTGCTCTTTGAGACCGTAGACAGCTGCGTTTCATGCATGGTTTTCCCGAAATAAGACAGGTGTTTTCAAACCGGTAGAGTCTTGGTGGATACCTGGCAGGAACCAATTGCAGGCGTTTTGGACAGCCCGCAAAAGTGGCAAAGGCACTCTCCAATGTCAATCACCTGACCTCACTTGACCAAATAGAAATTTTTCTTCTTCAACACGTGAGGCCCTTATTTGCCGTTTGTTTGTTCTGGTGAAAGGTGACAGGCTAGTCTCTTACTCTAGCAATTTTCGTCACTCACACAGGCTTTAACACGTTTACGTGTATGAGATAAAAAAAATATATATATAAATATAAAGATAAAGATAAGAGAATGACGATCATTGAAGAAACAAGCTTTTTCGTCCTTTGAAACTTAGAAATAAGTATAAAGTACTGCGTTGATATCGCGGAGTTACCGCAAAGAATACACATCGCCCACCCACATTTTTTAAGAACTTCCATCTGTGCACTTGAGTGAGTATGCAGTAATTAGCGCTCACTGTTTCATTTGCAAATTGAGGTCATATGGTTGACTATAAGAGCACAATCAAATAAATGTGTGATTACTGCATTTTAAAGTGACCAGTGCGTCACCTCTGCTTCGCAGAGGCTCGCACTGGTTCTACTCTATATGCCTTACTTATTCTCGCCTAATAATGGCTTTAAAACTCACCGCGCAATGCTGACTATCGCGAATGAAATGTAAACAACTATTCATTCTAAAAGCTTTTTTTATGTAAGATCGGTGATCTCGCGTGGATGTAACTTTTCGCAGAAGAAAAATGCGAGTTTGAATAGGTTTTGAAACTTTTTTTTCTTGGTAGTCGCCATGAGGACAATAGTTACCGTGAGCTACATCTCTATGCAAAAATCTTCTCAAATGCTCAGGTAAATCCACGGCGGATTGAACATTTACGCGAACACTTCTTTTTGGCGTCGTTTTCGCAAAGTAGCAAACTTTTGGTCACTTTTTGGTCTAAAGTCCATGACTTACACCTCAACCTGTTAAACACACCCAAACCTTTGCAAAAAGTGTTGATGCGGACCCAATTTTGCGGGTCAGAAGCCAAGTGGATGACGCGCAAATTCTGAGGGACCCACCCAGCGAATCCGTTCGTTTGTATGTTGGAGTTCTACGTTAGTAGCATGCGGTGTGCAAAATTTGAGCTCTGGATGTTGGCTGGAACCCGCCGTATGAATTTCGTTACAGACAGACAGACAGACACACACACAAAGTCACGTAAACACCCTTAGCCCGTTATTATTTTAAAGTGATAGCAAAGGATTGGAGCACACCATACTTTGTCCTGTAAGTAGAGAAACAAAAATGATTAAGACGTCGTTGAAGCAAATTTTCGATGCAATCTATTAGCAATCGCTAAGGAGCTTGCTGTGAATGATTTTCAATGACGCTGAACAGATGATCTAATAATCATGTTTTTTCATCACTGAGAAACACCACATAGCTCCTCTAGATAAAAGAATTGTCATCAAATCAACGGCTCACTTCAGAAATTATAATCGGCTAAAAATCTGGCTGAAAGACGTTAACGAAACATTTGCCATAACCGAATATCATATTTAGATGAAGATGAGCAGAATGGAGTTACGAATCATAAAGCACCCAGAAAGGCATGTGATCTAAAGGTCCTAAAGAAATGAAAACTATGAGTACTAGAGTTAGTACTCGCTTTTGTAGAGCAAAACCAATTTTTTTTACCGTCTTTGGGTGAGTTCAGAAAAAGCAGCATGCAGATAATCATAACGGTTCTTGTATTTATATGTTTAGACATAAATTCACAGCTTGTTATCAAAAAAGCCACGTATTCCGGATAGGAATGAGTTTTGGGCGTTCATTCATCAAGCCTTGAGCGAAGTAAGTATTTGCATCTGCGATACTTTAATTGGAAAACATACGATTTTTTGACATTCAACTTTTCGTTAGAAAAAATAATCTTGTGCGTCATTTTCATAAAAATGCTATTCGATTGAGCACTGCAATCATTCAATGGCAATGTAAATGGGGTGATTGTTGATTGATGAAACAAAGACTTCCTCCATGTCGATTGGCAAAATCATTTGCTGAAAGCATCGTACAATTGTCATTCGACACACTTGCTCACAAGCAACGGACACACTTGTCATGAATTGCGGACTTGGTTCAAGGATCAACATAAGTTTTTTCGTTACATTAACAGTCAAGGGATTCTCCATCTAATTTTTCAAATCTGATTACATGTAAGCGATTAAAAGAAGTACTCGCGTATGACACTAGGACTTTGTTTGTAAATTTATAGAAGAAAGTTATCATATCAGCCGAAAATGCTACTGTAATCAGGGCCCGGCACAAGGTTGTCAAAAGGAGTTTTCGAAAACGAATTCCTTTTTGACCCAAAATTTCTCTACAATTTCCCCTTTGACCCAAAAATTCGTCCCAGTGATTGCGCAATGAACACTTTATCCAAGGAAGAACATTTATTGAAGAAAAACCAAAAACAATGCAATAACAAAGAAGGAAGAGATCAGATCAGAGATCTAGAGTGATATCAATGACAATTGCACCGGCAGTTGGGGGGGGGGGGGGGGGAGCGCGGGTGAGGGGGAAGGGGGGGGGGAGAAGTCGTACCATTCATACGCTCGCAATTTCTAACTCTCACAGCGACGGAGAGAATGATCCGGCCTCTTCTTCATCCCAGTGAGTCGAAGTTTTGATAACTTCGCCTAAAATCAAAACAGTAACGCTATATAAGCTCCAAGAGCTTTTGATAAAATTATAAGCGATGAACTGAGTCGAATGCGTACAAAAGGATTTGAACAAAGAAAAATCAAAAGTTATGATAGAGGTGAAATTTTATGTTCAAAAGGCAGAAATTATTAGATCACAACAGACCTCAATTTCTGCCGGATCGCGATCGTCATCGTCGTCAGCATCTGCGGTATCAGGCTTGTCCAAGGTTTCATCAAAACTCGAATATGTACTCTAAAACCATCCAATCTGATGCAAAGAAAAAAAGGTGATAAGTCAGAGAAACAGCCGCTTAACTTGAATAGACTTGCCTCATTAGCCCAGCTAGTACTGGGAAGATCCAGTCGTAACCGTTTTGATTCGGGTTCTTGTGAACTTCTATCATAATTTGGAACGTTTGAAAAAAGATCCTCATCTTCATCATAGAACCCCATCTGGAAGAAGCAACCAACTTTTAAAATTTCTTAGAAAAGCGTAGATGCTCGCACCAACTCGATTTATTGACAACTGAAAAGGTTTGATCGAGGATAACGAGGATAGAATGTAGTGTAAGGCCCCGGACAAACTTCACGCGATTTGATCGTCGCGACTCAATCGCCGACATTTCCATTCATTTTCATTTTACATTGAAAAATTTCGGGCTGGAAAAGCATCACAACCGAAATGCAAGTTGATCGGCATGGAATGATGTTGTAACAGTTGTCTCGTCGCGATTCAGTCGCGACGATCAAATCGCGTGAAGTCTGTCCGAGGCCTAAAGCTGTAGTCTGGCTACCTGGCATTGAGTGTAGTTGCCATCGATCTGCGAGACAAGCGTAGTAGCCGTTTTTCTTGGGACAAAAGCCTGAATTCAGCTGTGTGAGAGCAAGTAGCTTCAAACCAGCAAAAGATTGGTAGTTCTCTGTGATCTTGCATACATTAATGCTTGAGTAAGTCATATTGAATACTAAAATGCCAATGTATTACCTTTTGGCAATAAGTTAGTTCGAGCACATCGGATCTGCTATGACGTCCCAACAGCTGCACGCGATTTTGCACTAGCTCCTCGTTCAGACGATCGAGTAAGTACAGAACCTTAAAAATAAATCAGTGTTTCTGGATGTGAAAACGGTAAGTTAAGGAAGCAAATCCGCGAGGAATTCTACAGAAAGACCCACCCCCTTAGCGACTTTGTTGAGTAGATAGCGACGAAGAGCATGACCCGGCCTCTTTTCATCCCAATGAAAAACATTAAGGGAGATTATCCGTGAATCCTCCTAAAATCAACATAGCAGATCATTCATGTAAGTTCTAAGGCAGGCGCAATACTCCTCGAGGAGTATAGCATGGCGACGGGCGATCGGCAATCGCCAAACAAGTTACCACACGTCAATCGATACGTACCAAACGTGTAGTCGCCGAAAACTGGCGATCGCCAGTCGCCAGTGTTGGCGACTACACATTGAATGAGTATCGATTGGACGCTTGGTAACTTGTTAGCAATCGATACGCATGGAAGACACAGTCGCCAGTATTGGCGATCGCCAATATCGCCACCAGCACCGTTATTCTCAGATAATCACCGGGGGCAGGCGCTCCGCAAACTCGCACTTTTCTGCAAGCAGTCAGCAGAATTTTGGGGCGTGGCCAGACCTTCAGCGAGCCGTACTTCCTTTACTGTCTAATTTTCTGGCAGAAATTTCCCAGCGGACAGCAACACGGAATTTTCTGCACGCGCTCGTCAAATAATCTCTCTCAGCAAACGCTGGCCGAACTTTCAGCAGGCGCTCGGACTCTTTTTACGCAGTTTCGGGCGTACGTCGAGCACAGGCAAGACTCTGTGTGGCAGAAGTGTCACCGTTGGTTTAATTACTCAATTTGAGGTACTTTCTCTCAGCGGAAATTACCTGGGGGCTGCGCAGTCCTCCACAAAGGACCATGCGGCCTTCGAAAACTTTGCATATTCTCGCGGAAAGTCCGCGAGAATGCGGCCATTGCGCCGCAGCTAATCTATAAGGAAACCGCGATCGTCCTCCAAGCATTCGTCTCAAATTTCGCTAAAATTCTTCCAAATATCTGCAAGCGGGCCGCAAGAAATCAGCGAACTATTTTTCCGGCGCCCGCCCGCCCATAAATCGCATGGCAGCCTGCCCCCGGCGATTATCTGAGTACACCGAAGAGGTGATGGAGCGCGAAAGCGGCAGAAGCAGTGCCTCAGCACGGTAGATTTCCAGGCGGCAGTGCGCAAGCTCACAGCTAAGGCTGCGTTCATACTGATCCGAAAGTTCGGGAACAGTATGAAAGCAGCCTAAGGCCCGTATGCACTAACATTTTTGCGGCGAGGGGAGCGGCGTCCCCCGTTATGAAGGGACCGCGTGCGGACGCCGCTGCTGCTTTTTCATCATTGGGGACGCCGCTCCCCTCGCCGCAGGGATGTTAGTGCATGCGGCCCTAAGTGCCCATGCTGGCGCCAGCGACGCCCCGAAGGATGGGATCGGAAGGGAAGAATCCCTTAAAACAATAGCGGAGAATAGAGGAGAGGACAATGTTGAAGCGTGGTTTGAAGCAGATATCGTTACTTTTGTGTATTTTTCAAACTTAGTTACATTTTTCGCTTTGAAACGTGAAGCTGAAATGTTTTTTTGTTGTAGAATAGTTTTTATGAGAGGTGAGGCTGACTTGCTTAGACTATTTGTCTACTCCTTTTAGTGGGACACAGATTGTCCGAAGGGCAGGTAACCCTCACCTCTTTTTTTCTTTTTCGTAGAATAAAAAAAAGCATAGCGTTTGCGTATAAATCCGTGTTTGAATCCATTGGACCCATTGCACATATACGTTTTGGGAACAGATGTCATGAGCACTTCATCGATAAGTCGTTTCATTGATCCAAACTTCGAGCTAAGGGTAGGATTTGGCTAGGAGGGGGAGGGTAAGGAGCACAGTAATAAGTTGCTGCAGGAGAGGTCTTTGTTTATTAACGCGGCAACCAATAAATTATGCAACTCTGTGTTCCTCGTGAGTGGCCATGCGTGATGGTTCATTGGCTGCTTCACAGCCACACAATCTTGAGAAAACCGCAGCTCCCAAATTGAAGACGATAGAATGAAATAGCTAAACCAGGTCTCAAAAGATGGGAGAACAGCGTAAATATTGACCCAACGACGATCGATTAAGACACTCTGAAACTTTGTTCCAAGAGACGGTGGAACAGCGCCTCGACTCGATCACGTTCTGAAAATTGCGAAGAGGGGAGAGACGGTGTATCGCATTCAGTATGCTCCAACAAGCGACATGTTCATGCTCGACAAATATCTAGGCGAGTATCTTCACCTAACGGCATTCAGTTAAGATACTTACAAGATCAACTGTTCGACCCATCCAAAGGTATTGATCGGAAAGATAAATGTCGTATGTGGTAAGGTTCGAGCGAAAATGTTCAGAGCCAAAACACCTGGCATGTGCTACTCGAACGACAAAGTCGACTCTCTACTCTACATGAACCGACTAAACAGCTTCGCTCATACATGTCCAGCGAGTGGTGTCCAGACATTTCTGCAAAACACCAGGAAGTACAATTCGTGCTTCTAAATGACGTCCTTGGCACTACAACCACGTCTTAAAACAAGCTCCATGCCAACATTTAAGATGCAGGAGCGCATCTATCCTAGAGCTGGGTCCCTGCTTCCTGCTTCTTTGTAGCCTCAACCTCTTGCAGCTGTACTTCGCCTGCGACGAGCAGTTGCGAGCGAACCAACGTTGCGGCATTACTTGTGGAACAAGTCCTAGAGCTGGAAAAAATGCTGCATCACCACGCCGCGACATTGTTTAGAAACCTTGCGAAATTTTGCAGCGCATTTCTGAAATAGATCGTACGAGGCCCTACAGTACCCACCAACCTCAATTAGATCACAAAACCCTGCCCTAACGGCGCCAAGGCAATTGAATCAAAGGTTAGACGAGTATCTTTCTGGTCAAATGTCGCCAAAAATCTCATCAATTCATCTTGGACACGTACTCCAAATTCGGGAGTGAACGGCTCTTCTTTATTCGATATAGCCATCGAAAGCTATCTGCAGACGATTATATTTATCTGCAGCCATATGAATACGGAAATGCTATTAATCTTGGGCAAGTGGTCATACTAGCATCCTCTTTCGCGGACGGCCCGCGCCAAATGCGCGAGTACACTCATGACCTATGTTAGAGCGTGTGGGCCACCTGATCTGCCCATGGCTTTACGTAAGCCGAAATCGCAGGGGAAACTTTTGTGGTAGAGCGCCTTCTGACTGCCATGCCATCACGGCAAAAGTCTTCAGACAGAAGCTCACGAACCTTGTGGACTTACTGAACAAAAGCCACGTCTATGGAGACACTCGTTAGTGGATGTGACCGCGGAATGGCAGGAATGCGGACTCCCGCATGCCCACATCTTAGTGTGCCTGAAGGGGCCGAGGTCGCCTTGCGCGAAGGCAAGTGTACCAGAGTGTATCGATATGATCTATGAGCAATACGAACCATTGAAACCGAGATTGCCTTGCGCGAAGGCAAGTGTACCAGAGTGTATCGATATGATCTATGAGCAATACGGACCATTGAAACCGAGGTCGCCTTGCGCGAGGGCAAGTGTACCAGAATGTATCCCCCGGCAACTGATCTGCGACTTTCGAACGGGAAGTGCTGGCTATCCTCTATGCAGAAAGCTACCCTGTTGATGGAGGACATACCGCAGTTAAGTGAAAGTGGACCATTGAACCGTTGACGTAATGGTGGCAACAGCTGGGTTGTGCCACAAACCTTATGTGAACAAGGGAAGTGACATGGTAACAATTTTCAAGAATTAACCGAGTAAAGAAACTCTGAAGAGTTCGCTAACTTTACAGACATCAACCAAACAATTTTGAAACCCTTTCCCTGACAAACAAAATTTATACCACTACTATTGTCACAAAAGTCATACACATACATATTCCCAACTTCCATATCCCCCCCCCCCCCCCTCCCCTTTTTAAATTCACCTCCTCATCTTCCGCAGACCTTGCAAGTGCTCTTCATGCCTTACCGATCACATTCTCTGCAGAACCAACATTTTCGGCTCACATGTGTATATCGTGCAGCATAGGGGGGGGGGGGGGAATTGTAGAAACAACCAAAAGGCTTGTTCTCAGCAAAGAAGAAATTCTATCACACCGATTTTGTGGAGATGCACCCTGTTGGAGAAGTTGGAAAAATGTACCTGAGTGGGCTTAAAAAAGAACGAAATAGATTTTCTTTTCAATATGTAAATTTATCACAATTTACACTAATCTCATTCTGAATCTAGCACCCTACAAACTGATTTTTGGACCAACTTACACCCACTTCAGCCCACCGCTTATCTATAGCCCTTCAAAAATTTTGGATGGCGGTGACAGTCCACCTCCGAGCAAGCGGTGAAGCGCGCCGGAAATAGCATACCGCCACTTCGCAGAGCAGACGAACAGCAGCGTTCTGCAGCGTTCAAAGAAATCGAGCGTTATCAAAGGGCAGATATCGTTCGTCCCCCAGAAATTGCCATAGACACCATTAACATGGCTGCCTTTCGTTCTTTTTAACATGTCAATATGGGTCATACGCCTCAAACTTGCTGAAGTTAACGTGTTAAAGCGATCGAAAGCTAGCGACGTTGGTGGTACCTGGGAACAGTCTCGGAGACAACATACATAAATAGCAACGAAACGAGACAGTCTGATGCAATTCTGGTTTCACAATCCAGACACTATACCCGCCTTTCAATCATTTATTAGGCTGGAAACTAAGTTTTGCAACTGGTTTCATAACTTCACTCTCTTTGGATATGGCGCACTCAAGCTTTGGCATCATGTAGAAGGCAATGTGAGCTACAGGTGAGCACAAATTGTTTAAAATTTGAACACGAAATAGAAAAGCTTCAGGCGCTTTTCGGAAACTGGTAAAATTTGTGAATTTTTGGGGTTTCAAGCTGAAATGACGCCTTTGGCAGCCAAGACCATGCGCAGTACTCCGGATTCGTCTATAAATTATTGCTAGAGGTTGACTTCTTGGGCCTATTAAGAAAGAAACAAAATATAGGGGCATGTCGAGATTTGGCGTCCTCATAAAGTCGAACGAGTCGATGTACGCAAGAGCCGCTGGGGACGACCGTCAATGACTAAAGAGTCCGAAGCTCAAATTCCGCCGAGACTTTACATAGTAAGGCTATTTGACCTGCGAAACGCGAATATAACATTCATTTGTTGAATCAACGCCTTTTTCCTTGTTTAGGGTGAAACCCCATATCGTACACCTACAGTAATCCTACAAAAAACCTTATCACGTTATTTCACTATCGTTTTCGTGATCAGCATGTCGGATAACACCACCCCTATGCCAAGTTTCAGCCAAATCCGTCAAACTCTGAATTTTTCCCCTTCATACCGTGCACCTACCGTAACCCTCACTGCGACGTCAGAATTTGGTAGGACAGCAGCTGGGCTTGTAGCTTACATAATATTCAACACAGTAGCAAAATTGGAGTGCACCATGTTGAGTGAGAGGGAAGTTATGAGACCAGTTGCAAAACTTAGTGTTCAACCTAATACTTGCTTATTCAAAAAAATGGACACTTCACGGCTGATACTGCGCGGCAAAGAGCTGCGCAACCGCCTCAAACAACTTTGACAACATTCTTCCTTCTGTGCCAACATGATCTGTTTGCATGGACTTTGTTGTAAACAAATCCATGCAGGGTCAAGCGTGTTGATGCGATCCGGGACCCTCATTTACGACCCCTCCCCTTGAAGGTACCCATCCGTACGACCCCCTCCCCCCCCCTCCTCCCTCCCCCCACCCTCACCCATTTATCCCCCTTAGCTCCCCTGCCCACATTCCTCGCGGTAACCTGCATAAACGAATGTCAATCTTAAACACCTGCGTGAGAGCTTCAGTGAGGTTGTTTCGGAAGCAGAACTTCTAGGCCAATGGGTGCATCCAGCATCTGTAGCACACATACACACCTTCAATAACGTTTGAGATTTTGCAAGTCAGGCATAATTTAGACCAACATATTCGATTTCCGTGGGCGACACAAATTTTTTCACGGGGAAAAAAATGATATTCTTGAACAACAAAAGATGTTTTCGACTAAGAAGCTTACTTCCTACCTATTCCACAGTTTTTTCCGCGAAAAAAACCGCTTGAGCGCCGTCCAGAACGACGTCAAAAACGTGCATGAGCATGGTAGTTTGAAAATTCGTAACTAAGGCCAGGAAAAGACTG